TCTCTTTCCCGTGTTCCTATCACCGCATGGACTTTCTGATTGGCCCATCGATACGGAAGTGAATGCTCGCTACTTTATATTTACGTCTTCCCTGAAAAAGGGAATCCCCCCCAGATTTTCATTGCTTTAATGTCTGACCTATGTACTTGCCATTGGCTTTTATTTTTGTAACACTCTGTAGGTTTCTTTATTACCCGAGTTTAATTTCATAACAAGGGAACACGTAGACTCGCCGCATGGTACATGAAAGATAATTATTTTTTTGTTACATTATTTTCTTTATTATAATTTTGTTATTGTAGACGTATGTGGTAATTTATTATAATAATGGGATTTTAGAAAAAAAAAATTTTCAATATATAATATTTTATTGATTATTTTGGACCTAACGTTAGTACCACGGAAGGTATTCGTAGGTGGTAATAACTATTGTAATGTTCAAGGTATGCCTGGTTTATTAAATCACAATGGTAAATTCGATTGAAATGCTTTATTGTGACGCTTATCAATTATCATAGGCATTGCCGAAAATCTTTTGAGAACTCTGTTAAGTATTTAATTAAAAGGATTATGAATGACGAAACACAAATTGGAGTAGAATCTTACGGAGTGCTTAAATGTCATTTGAATTATCATAGGTTAGTTGTCTTGATTGATTAAAAATTTTTTTTAAATTATCAAATTATATTACAAAAATGATTTTGTAAGATTTTCAACTGACAGATATTTTGTTTTAATTATTTTGTCAAAATTCAAGATGGCCGATCTATGTTCGCGATCTCTTAAGTGGGTATCACATTTCCATTCGCGACATCGATTACAGTGTGGAGCTTTTCTCTCTAATTACGTGAAGTTTCCGCCTAATTGCTCAACCAGTCGTGAAAACTTATCGGCTTTTTCATTTATATTTTTTTTATCACCCGTTAGACATTTGGTCCTCTACAAACCTTAATAGGCAATAGGGATCCTATTCCTCGTATTAAAGCAATCGCGTCTAATAGGGCGAAGGGAATGAAATGTCCTAGAAATCGATTTTATATTCTGACGATAACTTAAGACGCTTTGCGACACTCGGCAGTCCTTTAATTTTACTTAATAAAAATCGATCTTTATTTTCGGAGATTCGAAATGATTGATACGATCGACCGAATCTCGATAAGATATCGGGCTAGTGAAAATTTATTATACCAGTTCGTTTAACTTAGTCATTAGGATTTGAGTTTATAATTGATTAGTGACTTTTGTGTTTATTTATTTTTTACATATAATTGATGATTTTAAGAAAAACAACAACAAAATAATGGACATGAACAGACTAACTTTTTTTGGTAGTGACAGGTTTTTTTTTTACTTACCTTATATGAGGCTACATGACGATCTTATTGATTTGAGTTGCTTCTTATTCGAAAAGGGCATGAGTCCGCTGATTAAACTTAGTACTGTGTGATTATTGCTGATACAATCTCAAGATAGTGTTACAGTTATTACTTATTTCTTAGTTTTTCACTTAGTCACTCAAATCCACTCGATCAGTTTTTTTTTTTCGTCCCTGAAGATTATATTGCGCTACCACAGCTACGTTCATGTGATAAAAACTTTTCGAAAAACAGTTTCCGTTGATTATAGGAAGATAGGCGGATACATATAGCACGTAGCGTATATGCTATTTAAAAAGGGAAAATAGTTCTGCTCAGAAAACAAGTGTCAGACGCAGACGAAAAGAACGCGGTAAATTCAAATTAAATTTGTTGAAGACAAACATTTTCAAAATAATGCTAGAGTCTTTGCCCACGATAACGTGTTTGATTGTATATAGACAAACTTTTCTATGTCTCTTGTAACGTTCATATTGAAACTCCGTCCAGTCGCCTTTTTTTCAGCTTTGCGAAATTTTGTATCTTTGATCAAAAATAATTTTTTATTAAATTTTATTTGATTCTATGCTTTTATCGATATTTCCATTCTTCTTGATATTCTTTGTTCTTATTTTTATTTCTTTTCAGATAATCTGCTTCTCTAGCGAATCACTATTCGATAAGCGCGCACGACCCACGCTCGACGTAGTTTCGCTGCGACTACGTTCAGTCGGTTCGACTGTACCGACGTATCTTACGCATGTCCGTACGACTTGCAAGTTCTTCTCCCCTCCAACTGTTGCTTCCAGATACTGTAAAGATGTGTGGACATGTGTGAATGGGCCTTTAGCTGTCAACTTTATGCCACTTACACACTCCAGGTTTTCGCAGTGCAAATGTAATAAGTGAAAACATCATCGTCAACAAGACAGACGTCAGTTACGTCGGGCTACATAACTGATATAGAAATGTGGACAATGGTCCAAGTTAAAGTGTCCGATAAGCGGCTCTGGAATGATAAGAATCCCCAAGTGCGGTTTAAACAGCCCGGATAATGCCCACCTATACAAATGCTTCTATATGATAAGATCGATCTTAGTCTTTTTATAAGATTAAAATAAAAAAAAATGTTTAACGGATTCAAGAAAAGCAATTGAATAACGATTCTTACTTTTCGATGGTATCAGGTTTATCTGTAAGATTATAAGTGTTTCAAAATATGAAATTTGAATGATCAATAATAAACCTTTCGCATTGTAATGACGCATATGATACGTACATGAGATAATTTGACTTAAGTATCAAATTGATAGTAAAGTAGATACCTAATTAGGAGAGTTACAATTTTTTGTAATTTAATCCAAATGAGAATTAGTCACCGTACTATCATTCGTCAGAAAATTAATATCCAATATTCATTCTTATTTGACAGAAGTGTCAGCTGCTCGAACGCCACTTGCGTTTTGTGGCTGCAACAGCAAATATGTACCAGTAGGTACGGCAGGATGCAGGGTTCTGCTATATCGACAGTTGCTGAAAGCAAAGAAAACAGAAGCGGCGTTTGGGCAGATTACATTTGTGGTAAGTGATTATTCTGCCGAAGCACGTACCGGATCTTTGAGGTTATGACAACTGACTGTTCTTTCGAATGACAATTTTGGAATTTTGAGGTTTTGAGCAATCACGTTTCTGCCACATGACAAATATGGACTTTTAAGGTTCTGACGAATGACACATCTGTACACATATTTTCTAACAGACAGCGACCCTCCTCGTGATTTCTTTTTCTTTTTTCACTAGAAACAAATATCCTCCATCTATCCATAAGGCGAATCGCACTTACTGATATCTCCAGTTATTTTCCTTATTTACTTATATTTTAATGCCCGATAACCGCTGTTAAAGTCTAACGATAAAACGTCAGATATCGATCAGCTGCTTATTTCTTTCTGTAAAGCAATAGCGCAATTAAATTATCAACGCATTTCTCCACTCGATTATATACGACCATTGAAATTCAATAGCAATAGCTCGACACAAATTTAAAAAAAAATTCGCCAAAGATGCTTTACGTCCAAAGATAATAATCAGCGTGCAAAAAAAAGACAAGCACCTTATTAATTGATCAATCATTATCACAATAAAAATATCCAATCCTCAATCTCGTTTCATTATCATGGCTAATATAGATAATTGAACTAATTATCATCTAAATTATATACATATACACGTACATATATATTGTAACGTTACAAATCGATCACGAGTATCCATTTGTATCCTTTTTTTTTCTCGTTTTGTCCTATGCTCGTATTCCTTACTTTTATTTCTTAACTTATTCTTTACTTTCCATTGTGCTTGTCTTACTTTTCCTGCTTCTCTGGTTGGGCTGAGCATATTTCTTCAAATAGTCATAAGAGGGTAGTTCATTCTGAGAAACACACGTGGACTATACTGACGGTGGTTGCCCTTCCGTTACGTTACGTTACGAATTACGTTACTTTTTCTTTGGCACTGTTTTATGTAGAGTTTTGAGAGAGTAAGGGGAAAAACTTATTAATTTGAAAGGTAGGGGTAATAGTGGATTCTTTAGGTAGATCTTAAAAAAGAGATACAATCGTTGGTTTTTTTTTGTATTAGTTTGATATAATTTTTGGGAATTTTTTTTTAAATTAGTAACCAAATATTTTTGGATTTACTTTTAGAGATTTGACACTGATTGAAAGTTAATTTGAAGTTATTTAACGGAACGTGCTGACAATTTTGATACTCGAAAAAAATGTACAATTACGAGTGAACAGCTTATTTTATGGTAACGAGTCACTAGTCGAATTTTGGTATCTGCTGTGTACTATTATTTATTGGAAAAATTATTTAATGACATATCCACTTTTATGAATGACTTTACGTATATCGTGTATTATCTTGTATATATGTTGAAAAGGGTGATCAGATTTTTTTAATCGTGATAACAAGTGCTTTAAATTCTTCCGAGATATATTTTTTAATGTATTGTATGATAAATCGACTTTTATCAACCTTTTATCACTTTTGATTCGTTAAATTGTTTTAATTATTTCATTGAATTACACTTTAGTATTACTGTATCTTGAAGGAATACAAACGGTTATTATTATTGTCTCAATTACTATTAATTGGCGAGACATACATATGTACATACATATGTACATATGACATTATACATATATATATATAAATTGCGGCTTCAAAAAAACTTTCAAAGATAAGACAGATTCCTGATAAACTGATAACTCATCAAATGCCCTCGAAAGAAAATAAGTCCACCTACTTTCCATTGGTTATATAAAATGAGTAATTCTAAAGCCGTAAATTGACCCACTGCCGCGAGATAAGCATGAAATCTACTTTATCTTCTACCGATAATACAGGAGAGCTTAAACTTTTAGTTTCACAATACAAATTTCAAAAAGAATTTCAAGCGAGTTTACGTTCTCACAGTACAAAATGATTCGTCGAGTGAATTTATGCGATTAAAAAAGAAAATGCTTCCGTATACATCGGTCGCTCGATGTAATTTTATTTTTCCTATTATTAGTAATCTTTAGATTTTTCATCAATGAATTTTTATTTTATCTGCGACAATGCGCCTGAAATCTCCTATATCTATTTTAAGCGTAAGAAAATTTATCACGTCCCTTACAGTAAGATGATACAACGTATCGTTAGCTCTGTTCAGTATGTAATTTTGTATTTGCGGTAGAATTTCCGGTTTTATAATTTCAAGTGCTTTTGGCGCCATTTCTTCTAAAACCTATATAGACAAAAAATGAAATTAGCATTCGGTCAAGAAAAAAAAAGAAAAAGAAAAAAAAAATTAATTTAAAATAAACAATTACCTCGTTCATAACTTTTCCATATTTTTTATTTCTCATGAAATTACGTAAATCCATGTTTATCGACTCTATCGAAAAGTCTAAATCGAACGATTTCATGTAAAGGCCTCTTGAATATCCCAGAACAGTGTGCAGATATATCTTGGTATTATATATAGTGGCAGTGAATGGCCCGTTTCCATAAATGTCAAACATATTCCCAATTCTTCCCTTAATATTGTAATATCCAACTACGTACAGTTGCGGTACAGTCAAGTTCAATGTCACCATTGGACCAATCAGAGAGAGACTGGCATAATCAACAATGAACGTCGAGGCTCCACGGACCGTGACATTATGAATAAATCCGGAAACACTGAAAGCAAAACAATTCCAGTTTACATGGCAACAATAGCACATAACGTACATAACTATTCACGGGCACAATTTTTCTCCACATACTCGCCAATTTCCTCGTTATGGGTATCCAGATCGTAATGGGAGATAAAGAGCGGATCCATAATGGGAATCCCCACATCGGGCATCCCCTCCCTCATGCAAATTCGAAACGTATCCAATAAAGATATCAGCTTGGATTCCAAAATTTTCGAGCTGGCACTGTGGACTATCCTTTTATTGATTAATCCAAAATTTCATTGCTCAACCCTTGTCAAATATCAATATATATATATTTTTTTTTTACGATAACCACATTTTTCCGAACGTAACCTCAAAACGCTCGAAAATAGTTAAATAAATAATAATCTTATCTACTAACCGTAATCAGTCGTTCGTCTGGCTGCATTTTGATAAATATTCCGTGGAATGTCCACTGCATTTTCGACTGCAAAAAAAATAAACAAAAATCAATATAAATATGTTTTCTACAACGTGCTTTTTAATTATTTATATATATATTTAATTCTTCTTCAATTAAATTCTTATCCATAAGTAATTATTTTATCGTACCGAAATCAAGAACGTTATCCTTTACTCGATGTATCAATCTTTTAGACCCATCAATAATTCCAGAATCTGAAAGTCACGTATGAATTTCATATATATATATATATATATATATATATATATATATATATATATATATATATATATATATATATATATATATATATATATATATATATATATATATATATATATATATATATATATATATATATATATATATATATATATATATATATATATATATCATATATATATATTTCTGACAAATTGTGATCTCTCGTTGTTTCACAGACGTCAGATCTTCCCGTCACGAGATTCTTCTACACTTGGAAATTATTCGCACATAGAATCTTTATACGCTTTACAGGACTGTACGTATTCGCATATTCATCGTTATTAAAATTCAGACGTATCTTCTTCCCGCGCATCGTACGTGCGTAATAAGCAAATGCGCGCGATCGCTTAAGTAAGATAATAAAAAGGAAGAAAAAAAAGTAAGAATCGACTTTGCGTTAAAATGCAAAATAATTTTCTTTCGATCAATTGACTTACTTCGTTACGTCTCGTTGGCACAGTAAGAATAACGCTTACGCAATTTTGTATAACAAAATATACATAACTTGTAAAAAAAAAGTCCCAATCGTTATTGATTTTCGATAAAAAAATAAAATTGCAAATCTTATCCATAGCAAAACACACAATGAAATTAGCCCGTTTGAATTGTTCGTGAAATAAAAAATTTCTTTTTCCCATATAATAATAATATCGCATAAGATATGATTAAGTGTGAAAAAAATTATATAGAAAATTCAAAAATTTAGAAATTTCAACAAACTCTATTTACGCGCCCGATTGCTTTGTCGGAATATAAGAAGTCGATAAAAACAAACAATGTAAAAAGTGACTTACAAAAATTAGTAGTACGATCAGCGACGTTATTAATTGTTTCCAGGAACGGTACAGAATTTTCCACTTGTCCTCGATGCATTTTAATAAACGTGCAAATCACAAGTATACCCAGTGTAAGTTTCATTTTTTCACTAATTCAATGCCAAGTACAGGAGCTACAGCGAGTTTGATCCGCTCGCCAAAAAGCAGGAAGACGAAGTACCCGGTGAGATAAGTAAAAAGGAAGACGTATTCGGTCTGAAAAAGGAACAAAAAATCAGATTCCAGAAACGGTGGGACGAGTTTATCGCGCGTGGTAATCATAAACTACGCGACACACATATATGCGCAACGTGCGTCTGGATAATACACTGTTTCACGATTGAGAAAGTGTTAGAAACTGTCCGGCATCAAATTGAAGCCTACCGCAGTCGACGTAGCTACATGCAGTGTTATGTTCACGGCAGTGACAGTCGACGGTTTACGATTAATTCAAAAGATCGAGCAGTCGTGCGATCGATACCACCGTCCACGCTGTCTAACGATATCGATATATTAAAAGATCGAAAACCATTCGATTATCGCAACTCGAGTATTTAATGAATGAAATAGAGTTTTATTATTTTATTTATCCCTCTGACGCACTGCAAGAGACAGTCGTAAGCCTTGAGGATATATTTAATGCAGTGTGTACAAATAAAGACTGTCATTCCGCCATTTTATCTTGTCGTTGAATCCTTTACGTAAATCTGACGTTCGAGAATGTTAGCAATGTGGATCGGACAGCTTTTAGTCATCGAGTTGTTGAAAACAGGAAAGAAAAATATTGGTATCAAGCTAAGTTCATGATCTTTCTCTGCTACTTGCATTTTTTTACGTACATTATTATTATCAGCATTTATCTAATACTGTTTGGATCGATAAAACTGTCAACCTTCCAACTGAGGTTTACGTAGTAATATAACTGCCATTATTTTTGAATTGTTCAATGAGAACTGATCATTCAAACGAGTCATGGATCGTGCGGTTGTAGTGATTATTTGAAAATTTCCGTTACAAAGCATATATGTCTGTCGATCCTTTACTGTCGATCCTGAAAATTGTATTGACTCTCGTTTAATTAAATATGGTAATGGCTTTGATTCATTTGATGAGTTATGGGAGGATTGAAAAAACTTTCGTAGTCGTGCGTAACAGATTAGCTTGTTCTTTTTAAAATTTATTCTCAGCTATTCGAGTGGCTGGGACATTGAGAATTACGCAATGGCAATTTTTTTACTTTATTATAAATAATACGTATAGGACGAAATATATAGTTTCTCTTGTAGCGGATGTACTCGTATGTATGACGAAAAGTAATGAGCAATAATGATTTTAATGATTTTAATGGATTTTAGTATTTCTTTGTTCTCGCTGTTGTAGGCTTTGGGTAAACCCATGGATTCGGTGCGTATCCAGGTCTCTGTGGTATTGGATATGCTGTTATGGCTCCTGCCGGATGAGGTACTGGTGTTGGTAAGGATAATGACGAATTCAATAAGGCTGTTGATATTAGTATATATATCAGGATCGATCGTCTTAAGGAACTCTGGAATAAAATTGATTCAATAATCAATTCTTATATTATTTTATATAATATTGTTATTTCTAATTGAACAATTTGATTACCATTCTTCTCGATTCTCTTTGTCAACTTGACTAGCCTAGCGTATGTACAAGTGTTTCAAAATTGACTGGTGTCCTTTTAAACTGCAGAAAGACTTTTATACTCGGTGGTTTTTAGGAGGTGGATGTTTATTTAGGTCAGAGTGTGAAATTCGCTAATTCATATGCTCGGGATGCTTTTACGTTTGAACACAACGGGCATTATTTCAGGTATTAAATTACAGACTGGCTACGTTGGTTTTATTCAATGTATATTTTTATTATTTAAATAATTCCGAACTCTCGGTGATGAAAAACTATTAACGAGTACACAAGCGTATTGAGGAATTTAAATTGAATATACTCGATCAACCTTCTAACTGAGGCTCACGTAGTAATATAACTGCCATTATTTTTGAATTAAATAGGCCTAATATTGCTATATGAATGAAAGCCCTAATACATTTTTTTTGACTCTTTGTTAAAGGCTTGGGATAAAAATTATTAACTAAATGTCAGTATCTCAATTGCTTGAATGTTTAATAAAGTTATTTACTCTGTTAAAAATCTTCATACGAAATGTCTTTGCCTTGCGAATTTTATAGCTACTATAAATAGTAATAATAATACCAACTAGCCTTGACATGCTTATAACGCAGACTAGACATCGGATCATACATAATCAGTTCCTCAGAACAGTAATTTCTTGTAAAGCGAAAAGTAAAAGTTGATCTTAATATATTTTGATTAACGACGATAATAATTTATCGTGTGTTAAAAATTATTTGCAAATTACTCAAGATGATACAGATTTATTAATAATCATAAATTATTTTTTTTCAATTATAACCGGAAGAGGCATATATCTTACACGTCAGTATCCTACGTGTTGCAAATGCGATGCGAATATATCCTACAGGTTACGTATTTTACATGTGCATATCTTAAACGTCTTATTTGCCAATTGGATGTATCGTAATACAACTTGAAAAGAAACATAACTGACAATAAGAAAAAGGTGAAGTGTTTCACTGCCGGTTATGATAATGACAAAAACTAATAACTTTAGGAGAACATGATTTATTTAGCTTTGTATTCTTTTCAGTGTATTTTTACTAATTATGAGGAAAGTAAATTATTCTATTTTTTCAAGATCGAAAAGCTGCCATATACGAATACTATTCAATTAACAGAATCAATCAGCTTGGAATTTATGTAGCCTAATTGTTTAACCCCCTCTAGAGACTGATAACATGCTGAACGTATCGAATAGTTCCTAACGAATCAGCCAGATGACGCGCTGAGCGCCTCAAAGTGAAGCGTTTTAAACTTGCTGTTTCTAATACAGTTTTCAATCCCCCAAAAAACACTTACGTGTAAAAAACTACGCCAAGTACAGGATTGCTGTGAATTCCTCTAACAAAAAGTATTGATATCATATTATTGAGGCCAAGTACATAAGTCACTACATGGTTTCCTATTATATGATCTAGCACTGGCCCATCATTTTAATTATATTTTCAATATTTCCTATAACGTTTTCGCTACTTTTTTATGTTACTACTGCTTCCCGTATTTAATTATGATTTAATGGTGATTTAATAATTAAAAAAACTTTAGGTGATTCCTTATCGAGTACTACGTGGCGGGTCCGTGCATTTCTTGATATAAATTTGGTACAAAACCAGTACCAATTTTCTATAGAAAGCATATTAACAACAACTCGTCAAAAATAATCACGGTAAAAACTTAATAACAAACATACAGCATTAGAATACTATGAGCACGTATAAAGAGTAAGTACTTTGGAATTCCTGGCACAGACCCGCCAAGTAGTACTCGATAAGGAATCACCTAAAGTTTTATTAATTATTAAATCACCATTAAACCATAATTAAATACGGGAAGCAGCAGTAACATAAAAGAGTAGCGAAAACGTTATAGGAAATATTGAAAATATAATTAAAATAATGGGCCAGTGCTAGATCATATAATAGGAAAAAATTTCGTGACTTATGTACTTGGCCTCAATAATATGATATCAATACTTATTGTTAGAGGAATTCACAGCAATCCTGTACTTGGCGTAATTTTATACATGTTAGTGTTTTTTGGGGGATATCACAAGTTTTTGTTGCTCAATAGGATATATGAAAAAAGTTTTAAACACTGAAATCTGCATTGTTAAACAAATATAAAATATAAATACATTGCAATGTCACTAATCAGATAAATATATTGCGTTGTCGAAAATGTTAAAAGCCATATAAATATAATTTATAAATTGATTTTTCTTAGAAACACAAAAATATATATAAATTTGAAAGGAAAATATATTGTTAAATGTAAAATGAAATTCATTTAGAAAGAAGTTGAGTCATTTAGGAATTTCGTAAGCTTCCTACCGTGATAATCATAGACG